AGTAGTAGTAGTAGTAGTAGTAGTAGTAGTAGTAGTAGTAGTAGTAGGTAGTAGTAGTAGTTGGTACACGGCGGATAGACGGCCGTGGGCTTTTCTTACATTTTTCTGGAGATGTTGTTTTCTACAGTACTACGTGTGGGAATTTGGGGGGGGCGGGATGGGGGCTAATTAGCACACCTGTGGTGTAGCAGCTTATCTATTTCAGTCTATTTTCTTGACAACAAGGCTTGGCAATCCGCGGCAGAAGCTCGTGGGTTGCCGCTGCAGTCAGTTGTCCACCAAGTGAAAAATTTCACTTCACATGGTCGGACTGTTTACAAGGAAGTTTCGAATGTCGCAGGCCCGCAGATGCTCGATAGAAGCTGGCGGACTTTAAAAGAGTTTTTGCCGGCCAACCTGGTTGTGAAATGCAAAGAAAGAAATCACACGCAAATGCATCCCAGCGTGCCGCAGTACGTGTACATGTGGGCTTGGCGACAAAGCTTGAACTGTGCGAAAGCCGCTCAGTTCTTGCGCTGCTTGGAGGAGCTCCTTTGAAGAGTGAAAAGAAACGATTCCGTGCTCGACGCAGGAGGATGAAGATGTTAACACGTTGCGCCAGAGGGATTGGTGTGCATTTGGCATCGCTACTAGCAGCAAGGACGCTATTAGGAGCCCGTGGCCTTACTGCTAGGAACCAGAAGCTACTAGTAACAAGGGCATCGCTACTAGATTCGAAGTTGATAAATACAGTATATGACGGCCAAATTAGTTGCGTAGTTTTGAAAATTCTTCGAAATCGTCATTTCGCCTCAACGAAACTCTCATTTTATCGAAACCTGCATGGAATTCACAATGATTCCAATGATGAAGTGTCGCTCACAGCACTCCTAATGGAACTACGCACATTTAAGATGGGCTACCCCACGAACATCCTTCATCACACCACGGCCGTCTATCCGCCGTGTACCTAGTAGTTAGTAGTAGTTAGTATACTAATATAGTAAGTAGTAGTAAGTAGTAGTAAGTAGTAGTTAGTAGTTAGTAGTTAGTAGTAGTAGTAGTAGTAGTAGCAGTAGGAGTAGGAGTAGTAGCAGTAGTAGCAGTAGTAGCAGTAGTAGCAGGAGTAGCAGGAGTAGCAGGAGTAGTAGGAGTAGTAGGAGTAGTAGGAGTAGTAGGAGTAGGAGTAGGAGTAGGAGGAGGAGTAGTAGTAGTAGTAGTAATAGTAGTAGTAGCTATAACATGATGTCATGCAATCGAAAAGATATAGATCACAGTTGGCACTCTTCTGAATCTTCTCTGAACAAGAAGTCTCTGAACTGAGCAGACTCTCAAGCTCAGCAGATGCGACGGTGTGCCAGCTTTCTGGTACTGCGAATGGTTAGTTCCATCGCCAATTTCATTCTTTTGTTCATCGCAAACAGGAGACACGGCAAACTTTCTCAGGTTGGTGCTCCCCCCTCCCCCCAACTTAATATTTTTTTGGTTTTCGGAACATGCCTTCCAACGGCACTCCAAGAGTTTGGGGTTTTCCCTTCCAATGGGCTGCACCCTGTCCTTTCCTCAGACCTTGACCGTTCCCATCACCTTGGTGATTTCCTTCTTCATGCTCGGCGCGGCTCCCGGTGGTGCGGTCCGATTCGTGCGGTCCGATGTGTGCCGCGCCGCTTGAAAGCGGGTGGGTCTTCCGCAGAAGGAGAACTGGATTGGGACCGAGCCCCTGAAGAACATGGAGACCCAAAGCTCCAGAGATGCCGAGCTAATTACTCCTGGTTGCAGGATGCTTTGGTCATACTCAGGTGATCCCAGGTGCTTCACCCATTGGTTCAGGTTTCAGGCCACATCGATGTATTTGTTTATTGAGGTTGTTTTTTGACCCCTTCCAAGCCCCGGTGCACTGCGCATTCTGGTGGCCCCTGCGTAGCAGCGTAGCATGGACAGCATGGTCCATGGTGTTTTAGGTGCAGTTTGTTTGCGCACTTCAGGCCCTTCTGCTCGACACTTCTCATCTGTGTGGCCAGGCCCCTGTGCGACACTTCTCTGATTGGATCCATCCCACCTTGCTGGTGGATCCCCATCCAATCCACCACGAGTCGCACACTGCACCACTTGCACACTGCACCCCAATTGTAGACGTTGGTTCGAGATGATGAAACCATGGTTTTTGACCCTTCCATCTCTCCCTGGATCCTCCTTGCGAGTGGTGGGTGCCCAGAAGCCACCCTAAGCTGTTTTCGGGTCCCCAACACAGCTTGTTGCAGGAGGGTGCTCCCTGCGACAAGCTCCTTGCCCCACGGCCTGAGCCGGCCTGGGCTGCCGAGGCATCGAAGACATCGGCAGCCGGGTTGAGCAGCCCTTCGATGTGCTGCCGCTGTGGCAGTCGCTCGGTGTTTGTGGAAGAAAGGGAATCCAAAGGGAAAAGGGGGGCAGGAAGCCGCGGACTGGTGAATTCAGTGAATATTTCATCATATTTCAACCGGATTGTTTAATGCCTGGGTAAGTGGGGAGGGCTAGGACAAACTCCGCGCAAGTTGCAGCTCAGCTCATGTGTTGCAGCTCTCTGGTTGGGGTGCGTACGAACTGTGGGATGACGTTCGTTGTCCAAGGTACTGCGAAGACATCGAAAACTCCTGCAACCAACTCTTAGAGCACAGTCGCATGCTAGGCCAGGCTGGAGAACCTGGGATTTCGAGGGAAAGGCGGTTGGAGGGCTTCAGGGTTTTGATGCTTGGGGGCCGAACAAAAACAAACGTTGGGGGTCTGGAAACATGGTGCTTCTCTGAACGCTTTCGGTGGAGTTGCGTAAGGTTTGCTTCTAGGAAGTTGGGGAATGTACACATGACTGATTGCTCAAGGCAATTGAGGGGCTAGGTTCGGTGGTGGGACATATTCCGCAGTGGGTGTGTCTCCAAATGGAGAAACCACTTACACCCAGGAAACTTAACATGGAACCTGAAAACCACTGGGTTGTAGAGGGAAGCTAGTCTTCGAGTCTGGTCCACTTTCAGGTTCCATGTTCATTTTCCCGGGTGGGTCGTTTCTGGTCGTTTCTGGTCGATTGATTGGACCTCCCAACCACTTGGTGCGACTCGACTCGGCGCGAGCTGGTCGGGATGGGCGTAGCTAGCTCGCGTAGCTTGGGCCAGGGGTGGTTTTCAGCGATCGTGCCTCCCTGATCCACGAAGTGGTGTGTATCAAAATATAGGGAGACATCCCAGTTCGAGCCCCTGGAAGATGAACAATAGACCGAAACCCATGGGCAATGCGGGGTCTCCCCAATTCAAATACACACCCACTTGCATTCTGGGGGGGGCGTTCCCATCGGCGGTTCCACCGCGGCGTTCCCACCGCTCTGCTGGACGAGGGCGCCTGCCCGAGCACACAGAGTCGTTGGAGAATGCCATGTTGAGGCAGCAGTTAGGCGCGGCGGCCGACGGAAGAAGCTTTTCAGGCTTTTCTTTGGTTTCAATCAGCTATTTTTAACTACAGCAAACAGCAAACAGCTTTGATTTGAGGAGCTCCTAATTCTTGCATAGAAGAATTCCTGGGCGATTTCTGGCCTAATTTCAAGAGGATATCATTTTCACGCGGATCTCAGTAGATGAGCAGCTATTGGCATGGGGTTTGCACCTGGAGATGCAGTCATAAAGTCCTGGTTGTTCAATGATTTGATGGGGGTGAAGATTACTTGAGGCTCTGAGTGTGGCCTGTGCATTGTTAGCAAAAGAGCTGCTTTAGTCGAGAAGCACGCATTAGACAATTTTGGGGTTGCATACGACCAATGTTGGGAAGATGACCGCTCGACACCCATACACACAAACCACAGTAAATGATGGGAGTCATCAATTCATGCTTCCTGCTTATCGGCCATGTAACATGTAGCTTGCTTGTGTACCTCCCTGCCCCGCAGCGAATTTTCCAAGCTTCCTACCCAATCCTGCAGCAGTGCCCGCCGAGCACCGTGCATGCTAGGCCCATTTGTGAGCAGCATCTCAGTGTGAGAGCAATCGCTCGAAAAATCAGTGCGAATTGGACCAGCATTGGATGGCAATGAGTATTGTGAGTCATGTCACCCCTGCCAACCACATTCTTCAAGGCCAAATCCGTTTCTGCATGTCCACTTAGATCTATTTAGAACTAGACAGTTTTGTCAGCATCTAGCGACTAGTGCACCCTCGAAAAGGATCAGCCCAGTTGAAAGGCATCGTGGATGCCGCGTTTGCAGCCCAGTTGGCTTCTTCCTTCACCCGATTCTTCCGATGGCGACCGTTTTTCCTCCCATAAAAACTGCCTAAGAACAGAGAAACCTCTTGGATGATCCATCGTCCGATCCATGTGCACCAGCGAAGCTTTGGACGGCTCGGAAGTCAGCAAAACACGGCGGAGCAGCAGTCAGCGGTGAGCTGCCTGCCCCGGTGGGCGGCTGAGCTGAGGGTGCGAGCAATATTGGGAGTAGATATATAGAATCTCGAATTTTGAAGTACAACCAACCCAGTGGATACCAGTTACGATAAGAAACCAGGGTTTCTAGGTCTTAGTCATAGTCTTTGGAACCACTGGTTACCAGTGACATCGTGGTTTGCCTGGATCCGCTGGGTAGTATATTAATATTAAATCAACAAGAGTGGTATATCAGTATATTTGGGTAGTATATATATATATAGTATATATAATCGTCAATCAACAATATACTACCCAATATACAGTTCTAGTAACTAACTGTATATATATATATATATATTATAGTTATATATATATATAGCTAATCACATTACATACTCAATTTATATATAATATATGATTGTATTCAATACACAAGACTTGTTGTATAGACATATAATGACACACATATATATATATATATATACACATATAACTGGCAATAATGTATATGCTACCAGAAATATTACTTGTATATTTATGTAGCATAGAGTTCTCCAGTTCTTCATGACATCGGTTTGCCACTGGCTACCGTGCATGCCACTGGCCTTCTGGGCGAACTGGGCGCCACACGCGACATTCAACATCTCTGTCACGTCAGTTTGCGAACTGATTTGAGGCCGAACTTTTATGGGTGAACTTTCAAATAACGATCCCTTCCATTATTTCACCAGTCCCAGTACCTCAATCCAAGTACCTCCTGAACACTGGTGCAAATGATCACTTCAACGAGATTCAGGGAACAACAGGGTGTTGTTCTCACACTTCATACCCAAGTTACCCCTTCAGTCCAAGGCAACTGTCTGCCCTCCTAGGCGACGAGTGTTTCAATGCCCGGATTCCCCGGTGAGTGAGGTCGACAGGCGTTGCGAGTGCCTTTCTTTTGGGGTGTTTCTGTCGTGGAGCACACGACGCGAGACCCGAAGTGGCCGAGCGGTCTTTTTCCTGTACCTATTGGGACCATTGGGTTAGTTTGATTCCAGGTCTCTTTTTGGATCGCAAATCCGTTTCGAGAAGATATTTCTTGGGTGGACCACGTGCCTCCTGGGTGTACCGCGCGTGAAGAAAAACCATCCTCGTACGCCGGTCCTTCACAACGGTCTGTGTTTGTTTCGAACCATCACGCAATGTTCTGATGTTGGTTTGCCCGAAACACGCCTTTCCCCACCTGGAAGGGGGGATTGACGCAACGTGGATTCTGGAAGTGCCCCTGCCGTGGTGCACCAAAATCAATCTTCGCACCGGACCGCGCGCAAGCGGGGATCGTTTTCGACTGCAAGCGCCGGAATGGCTTCGTCCACCTGCAGATGGTCAGCATCCTGTGACGGGGGTCATGGCACATGACTGTGATATTGTCGTGTGACCACATGTGATCGTCTTGAGCTTGTTTGATGTGTTGTTCCCCTTGAGTGTACACCCGAGAACATGAGTAAGACATTGGGCCCGCCGCTCTTCTCAGACACCCGTGGTGTGCCCCCAGGCCCGGAAGCACCTCCAGTGCCAGTGAAGCCAACGATGAGATCAAAAGCATGTGCACGACCTTGAAGGAGATCGGACACGAGCGGTGCACGAGCGGTCACCGGCCGGTTTGGGGCTGCGGGATTCGCTTCCAGTGGGGGGCACCCATGAGGTTCCTACGCCGTGACAGGCCTCAGAATGACATCCCATTTCAACAAGAGCCGTTTTAACAGATGTTATGGCAGTTTGAAGTTTGAAGCGTGTTGGTGCAAGGTCTCGTCACGCCAACGACAATGGTACAAATGATGACATCAAAGGGAACTGTTTGTGCGGGCGCACGCCATCCCAAAGTGATTCGCCTTTCTTTGATCGTCATGGATCACTCCGATGAGGGAGGGGGCCTGGGCCTAGCAAAGCCCTAGATTGATTGGATTTCAATTTGACTATAGTGGTCCCGAAACAGATAGAATAGTAAATCCCCACTAACAATGTATTGGACACCATGCCACTATACAAATACCGAGAGGACATCATGCTGAAAGGGTCCCGGGTGATGCAGAATGGCCTGGCCATCAATAGTAAATAGTATACATGGCACAAAAAGAACTGGTTGGTTGGTTACTGAGCGCAATGTGCAATTTCATGTGTGGCTGTGGCATCCCGCTTGATATTTGCTGCCAAGTTGGATGCGATTTCAGGTTGTTCATTTCCACTACTTTGCCAAGTTCACAAGTCATTTCTTGAAGTTATCGTTTCTCTTTGAGGTAACACCCATAGTCCCATTTGCTCCTGGGTCCAGGTCCAATTCGGATGTACTGAGTAGATGCCTGGTGATGCCTCTTTGGGCTTCGAGATGTTTAGTTTCAAAGTCCTGCGTTTGCCCACCTTGCGTTTGAAGCTATATATAGGAGAAAGGCTGCACAAGTCCCACAAGTCCTCAGACCAGCTGGGCGTGTATCTTAGGAAGACCCCCCACCGGTTTTTGGTCTATTTTCCCTTCTTCCCAGGGGTGGTTGGGAGGTCTGCCTATTTTAGTAGACACCAGCTGTTCACCAAGAAAATCAAGATCTCGAAAGAGCCCTCTCACCTATGAGAGAGCTCAGAAGTCATGTGGCAAGGAGGAAACGAAGAAAGGTCAGTCGCAACATGCGAGATTTTTGCAGGTAGCTGGGACGGCATCCCATGCTCCTCCCATTCCATTTTGGCAGTTTCACCTCCGAGATGGAACAAGCTGAGCTCTCCACCTGATCTTTGTTTTCCTTTGGAACTGAGTCTTGAAGACCCCAGGATCAAACCCGGGAGTCATCCCTAAGTTAAGATGAGGAGATTTCTTTTCACAGCCTGTCGCAATTGGCAGCCAGACTCAGATGACATGCAGACTTAGGAGGCAGCGCGGAAATGCATGGATCTGAGTCAAAGCCAAAAAGGCATCACAGATGTTAACTAATCCCATGTTTTGGGGTTGTTTAGTTTTGATCAATGTCTTTGGTGATGGGGTTTGTTACGAGCCTCTTATATAATGTGTGTCTGCAACGGGTGCCTGAGGATTTAGCATTCTTGGGGGTTGAACAGCCAGAAGCATCGTCCCATGCCAGGATCAGGCTCTGGAGAAGGCCTGGAGTTTGGAGTCTTTTCTCGAACCGTGTGAACGGTGAAACGGTCGTTGGAGGCTCTGCTCGGGAGTTTGCACGTCATCTTAGAATTGTTGGCGCCAAAAATAGTAATATTCCAATTCCTATGAATTCCATCCAATGAAGTCACCAAAAGGCTGTGGGTTTGGACCACCGTTAAATCCGCAAAAACCCTGGTTGGCGATTTTGGGGTGCGCTTGTGCAACGGAACATCCCTTTTCCCTTCCGTTCCAATTTGCCAGAGCAACATGGACCGTAAACATGAATCATACTTTATGAAACAGAAAAAGATAATAGTAGCTTTATTGTTACTCGTAGTAAGGCCAGGAGGTACTAGTAGCGTCCTTGCTTCTAGTAGCGATGCCCTTTGTTCCTAGTAGCTTCTTGCTACTTTGGGGTGAACTCCGTGTCCATGTGACTACGTGTGATGTGTTCGTCGGAGTGTACCTTCCGGGGCTTTGCGCCCCAAGGCGCGTGGCGCGTGGCGTGTGTCCAGGCCCAAGCCGGCGGCTGGAACGGGCTCTTCTCCGAGTTCACGGCCGGGGAACATGCGGCGGAGGGTGGGAAGGGGAGAGTGGTGAGGGGAGCGGTCATTTTGGGTGGTCTGGTGGTTTTAGTCATGAGTCAGAGTCGGAGAAGCAGTAGAAATACTCTGGCGTCATACTGAGCGTTGTTTTTGGTATTTGGCAAAAAGGCAACTAGCAAGCATGCATGAGTAGGGTAGTTCAGTGCACTTTCGCAACTAGCTCCGACCCTTTTGCAGATCCCCACGGCCGACTGCCCAATCCTTGCAAATCGAAGCGAACCCCCGCGAGCCCTCCTCCTCCATGGGCCATGCGGAATCGAAGCGAAGCCCCCGTGGCGTGGCCGGTTTGGATTGAACCTTCGTCGTCGGAACTCGGATGTGACCACGGAACCCCATGGATGATTCCATGTGTGAAATGCCATGCATCTCTTTGTGGAGCGAAGTGGGTGAGGTGGGTCATGGGTCAGGTGGGTGGACCGAACCACTTCCATGAAAGAACTTTTGAGCGCTTGGATTCGCTACTGGTACCACACTTAAAAAGGTCGGTTTCCCGGGTGGAAAGGGCAACCCTTTTACTCTACACTTCCAAGCTTCCAAGGGGCAGCGTTTTCTCTCTTTCTTCAGCCAAGAACATTACAGTGAGATCAAGATGATGACCCTAACGGTTACAGCCGCTAACCCCGGCTTTAAAGATAAAAGCTTCGCTGGCGCGACATCAGGCCATCAGCTACACCAGCCAGGTGCGGGAGTCGACAAGTAGATGGCCAGATCGGGGTAGACGTGCGACGTCAACAGCAAAAACAAGGACCAGCATGTGGTTCCCCCAACAGCATCCAAGCGTGCAAGCTTGGGGTCTTCAGCCATAGTAAAGGGTGGCAAGTTGGGGCTGCTCGAAATAGTCGCATGAAGCTTCCCAGGTTCTCAACGTTCCCAAGGTTCCCAAACTTCGCAGATCTATGCAATGCAAGCCATTCGTTTGTTCTTGCTGCTGCATAAACGAAAACATATGCGAACACACCGGGGTCTGCAACACAAATTCTCCAACAATTGACAAGTCGAC